CGTAAAAAGTTAATCCCAATTCTTTTTACGCATGGAACGTAAAATTGTTCAGTTTAACCCTACGGTCTTAACACTGACCAAACCCAAGTCTTCTTTCTTTACCGGATCAAAACACTGAATACATCTAGCGTTAGATGTAAGGTTTAACTAACCAGTAAGCACCTCTGGATCTCAGCACATTTTTCATACAGACAGACAAAGACGTGGCAGCTCTTCTCAGTAGAAAGAAAATACTTTCATTGGTCATACTAGACAGTGAGACAGCCCATAGCACTTAGCACAGGACCGGGTAATAAATAAATAAAAGGTAGGATTGCAAGGCTAAATGGAGGAAATCAAATTGCCCCACACAGCAGACACACACTGACTGAAGAACTTTAGAGGGCTTTTCAGAGAGGTTCTTTTCATACTATGAATAATGACTACTCAATCATGTAAATAAACCCAGATACATAAGAAATTATGCATAAAGGTAAAATCTCACCAGTGAAACATGAGTAGGACACAACATTTGACGAGAGCGATGAAATAACAGCTTGAGCTACGAAAGGGAGGACAACAGACCTTTGCAACCTTCAGAAACAAGAAGATTGAGGCTGACAACTAATAGAATTAGAAGAGCTAGAGTGCACTCAATATCTGCACTCAGCATTAATGATCTCAGAGGACCAAAGGAAAGGTAATAAACATACAGAGTTTGAAAAGAAAAAGATACAACTAACAGAATAATTTTGCTCTCTCAGTTGCAATGACTAATAAGATTTTAAAAATATCAATCCCAAGACAAATATCAAATAGGATGAGAAAGGAAAATGGGAAAAAAGTCAAAGATAACGTTTTTATTACTACTGCTTTTGTTAGAATTAAAAGTATGATTCTATTTGTTAATAATCAGCCATTTTAGAGCAAATCTTTAGCTTATCCAACAATTTGAATAAACAATGTTTATAGAATGGTAGGATTTTTTTTTTAGACTATCAATGTCAGTCAAAATGTTGCTTCAGGAAACAAATATTAAAAACAATAACAAGAAACTGCATTAATAAAATGTCTTTTTAAAACTGAAAAAGAATTTTAACATAAATCATGTATCTTCCCTAAACCTATGGGGTAAATTAAAAGATGAACCAATAAACTTTGGAAAATATTCAATTATAAGGATATTTTCCAAATATTTCTGACAGATTGATGCCACATTTTAAGGAGCTTTTAGTGAACTAGCATTAGTCTCTAAAAAATAACGTTTAAGATCCAGAAATTAAAGTTTCTAAAAGAGAACGTATAGATATTTATAGTGCACTAAAAAATACAACATAGGACACTAAGCTTTGTTTAGAAAAACGGCTTAAAACATCAAAAAGTAATAATAATAATTGAAATGTATTAATCTCACACTGGAGAAACTCACTTCTGCATTTAACCTATCCCATTGTGGAGCATTGGGTTGCCACTATTCAGCGCCTGGGGAGCAGTGTAGGTTTAAGGGTCTTGCTCAGGGAGCCAGAGTGGAAGTCTGCAGAACTGGGGCTTGAACTCAGAACCTCATATATATATATATATATATATATATATATATATATATATATATATATATATATATATATATATATATATATATATATATATATATATATATATATATATATATATATATATATATATATATATATATATATATATAATATTTCCAAATTAAGGAACAGAAATTTACCTTTTTGAAGTAAAGTAACGGAAATTTCTTGCTGAGTATAGCAAGAAATTTCCAGATAAGAAAACTCTTAGTTCTAAAAGGAAACCAGTGGATCCCAAAAGAATAAACATTAAGTTTCAACAAGTAACCAGTAAGTTTCCTCAAACACATTTACTGTTAGTTGATGAGAATGTTACCAGTAAGTTATAAAGAAGTAGCTATGCCTTCCACATAAGTAACCTGTAAATAACTGGAGAAATGCCTTCAAGTTTCCAAGAGACTAAAGTGTACATTTTGGAAATGTGCCTATATGTTTACAGGAAAAAACTGAGATATTCTGAGAAATTAACCAACATTTATCTGGTAGAGGAACCTGTAGGTTTAGGGAAGTAAAAAAAAAGAAGAAAGTTCTGGTAGATATAAGATCATGATTTTATGGTTTTAAAAATAAGTATCATCCTTTCCCAGAGATGGCATCTACTCATAGCGAGGAGGTAGCTTAGGTTTCCACTGATTTGACAACATCTGCTGTGATCAGATTCATTTCTCAAAGCGTGATTGTGAGATAAACAGCTGCAAAGCTGTTAACTATGCCGCTCTAAAAATGACATTTTAAAGGATGTCCAAATACTAAACTAGATATTTAACAAGCCAATCTTAAAAAAAACATTATGCATAAATTACACAGATGCTGTGTCAGAAGGCTGACCAGAGATAAACAGGAAATACATGCATGACCTTTAAACAACAACAAGCTTGAAGTGTTGCATGATCTAAGAACAAAGAAATAGCAGAAACCATTTATCTGCAAACACAAGAACACATTTAAGTGGTTTCTGAAGGAAGAGAGAGATATTACTGCATTAAACATCTATGGTCCAAACCTTTCTGTAGAAAATGGTTAAAAGGAAATGCAGAGAATTTTCAATTAAGATGTTTATCATGTTAAAAATGAACTCAACTACTGGGTTTGAGATATTTTCAAATTTCCACACACCTAATAGTAATAAGAACAAATAATAAATGTGATTCTTCTTTCCTTTAAACCTAATGTAACATTTCTATTCCAAACATGTCATTAGAAATAAAATCCGGGCTTTACAGACTTTCCTAAAAACACCTGGCTGATGGCTGATCGAAACTAAATAGACCCGCAGTGTTACAGCGCCTGACTGCTGGCTCCCATAGCAACCATTCACTGATTGGTCAGGTGGGTCTTAGCAGAAAACAAGAAGGGCGACCGAGTGATGGGTGAGAAAAGCAGAAAAAGAGATAAGATTGGAGATTAAAATATAGCAAAGGATGGACTTTAAATGATAATTCTCATAAGCTGTTAAAGGAAAGCTGTAAATCTTCCATTAGAATAAGTAATGGGATTTATTTTAATCAGATGTATAAATAATATCAGAGAGTGCCATGCCAATAACTGATTCATGAGTGCCTCTGAAACTGTGCCAAAAAGCTGCTACTTGATGCCATTTCTTAAGGTTCATGATGCACTGGAGCAAATAAAAACAAAAACAAAAGCAAACCTATTAATTCAAAATGTAAAAAAAAAACTTATTTAATTTTTTTCTTTGTTTTTTATTTTTATTTTTTTTATTTTTTATTTAACACAAACTCCTCTTCATTTTTGTTTTCGTCAACATTTTAGTCAGCATTCGGCACAATAGCTGCTGAATTAGATGAACAATATGGCCGCATGTTTAGACTAATTATTAGGGATGGTACATAAAGCACAATGTTGGCTTTCCCACTGAGAAACAGGGTGTTTTACAGTTAAAGGGAACTCTAGAAAGCATTTAAATGGAAACATTTACATACATACTTCTATGTCCTAATGTTGTTTATATGCAGCCTCCCTGGCAATGATGTGTAAAATGTAATCATTTACACAGCTGGGCTTAATTGGAGTCTAAAAAAAGTCAAACTTTTTAGAAAAAATCCAACAAATGCCATAATTATCAGCATCTCTAACACCTTTAAACAAATGCAACCAAAGCAGTCTTATAACTTATGCTTTACCTTCATAAGTTGATTGCATTCTTTATATTTCTAAATAAGTTAAACTTCCACTTACTCTTAGACAAAATAACTTCCCCTCAAATAAGGCAAAGGGAGTATGCTAATAAGTCAGGACTCTCACTAGATGGAGCAATAAAGAAAACATTTAAAATGACTACTGCTGTGAAAAATAAGGCTAAACACACAAATGTTGATGGTGGAGCGGGAGATCGACTGGAGGACTGTTGCAGCATCTGCTGTGAAGCGGGCGCTGTACCAGTCAGTTGTAGTGAAGAGAGAGCGGAGCCAAAAGGCAAAGCTCCCGATTTAACGGTCGATCTACGTTCCTATCCACATCTATGGTCATGAGCTTTGGGTGATGACCAAAAGAACGAGACCCCGGATACAAGCAGCCAAAATAGTAGTGTGTCTGGGCTCTCCCTTAGAGATGGGGTAAGGAGCTCAGTCATCCGGGGAGGACAGGACATGCTTCTCAGCTGGCCTGGGAATGCCTTGTGATTTTCCTGAAGGAGCTGGCTGGCTGGCTGGCTGGCTGGATGGATGGATGGATGGATGGATGGATGGATGGATGGATGGATGGATGGATGGATGGATGGATGGATGGATGGAAATGTTGATGCAGACAAAAAGGTCTAAAACATAATGATCCTATGTAACCATTCCTTCATTGCTCTGAAGAACTTCTAAGTCTTTCTGAGAAGAGAAAATTACCCCATATTCAGCATTTAGTGAAATTACATTTTGCTAAAAAAAATATAAGCCCAATGAAGAACTGAAGTTGACCCTCTAAGAAACAGGCCTCCCTCATTTACATAATAAAGCAGAAATGCATACAGAAATGTAAAAATGACAGGCATAAATAAATAGCGTTGAAGAAATAAATTGGGTAATAAAAATACAAAAGAGGAATAAATCAGACAAAAAATATAATATCATTTGCATAAATAAATACTTAAAAAAATAAGTAATAAATAAATTAAGTTGAAGATTATAACAGAAAATAAATGAATAAGGTAATTATTACAAAGGCGAATAAATAAAAAAGCTATTAAAAGTGATTCATACATTTATGGCTCACTGTATAATTTAATTTCTACCTACATTTATTGGTTTATTTTATTTTTGGGGGGCAATTAATTATCTGCTTTTTTTATTTATTGAGCATTTATTTATTTCTGTATTTATTTCTAAATATGGCAAAGTTGGTCCTCCATATTACAGAAGTGCCATCTAATAAAAATGTAAATATTTCCTCAGGATAATTAGGATTTCGATCTAAGCATACCATATTTTGGGACAGCTCCCCGCCGTCAAAGTGGCGCTCCAGATAGTCCATAGACAGGAGTTGGCTGTAACGGAAAGGTAAAAAAACAATTGTCAGGAAAATGCCATGAGAAATTGGATTTTCAGGTTCAAAACCAGAACCTCTGTATGAAAATAAACTGAGATGACAGTAAGGATGACTGTTTAGAGATAGAAAATAGAAAACCAAAGGTTTATCCTTCTTTAAGTCTGCATATTTATAAAATAAAAATTCTGGTAAATAGAGCTTAAGAAAACCGAGACTATAGCACAACACGTCATTCAAATAAAATGCTGTTGTTCGGTTAATTTTATTAAAAATACACTGGCATTTTTTAGTTTAATGGACTGGAACTGCAAAACCTCCAACTTTATCTCATCAGGGTTAAAATACTAAAATCAAAAGGGTTTTCTCCGAGTATTGTGACAGCTGAAGAGTAGTTTAGCCTACAGCGACAAAAACACGGCTGTATTGAATGTGGGGGGAGGGAGATGGACAGAAAAAAGCCTTTAAGTGACTTCTATAAGAAAACTAACATGTTGATGGTTCAGGGATGTGCCAATGTGCCACTGGCAGGTTTACTTACTGGTTCAGTTCCAGGTCAAGGATGAATGATGAGCCAAAGGCCTCCACCAGGAAGCTGCTCTGAGCCAAATGGATGGGCTAGCAGAGAAGGAGAACAAATAATGAGAATGAAGGGAAGAATAAAATCTAACTAAATTAAAAAACAAGATTACATTGAGTTTTTATGGCGTATGTATTATTTCAGGTAGTCATTATTTTATTTATTTTGTAAACATTCAATATTTTAGCAGATCAAAAGGTAATGGCAAGCAAAAAAAACTCACATTAAATAAGTATATCATTAAGGTATAAAACACAAAGAGCCACTCTACCTGTCAGAGAACAAGAATAAAATATTGTTTCGATAAAAAGATTGAGAAACAAATTTGCTGTGTAGAGTTTTTCATGTTATGATTGTGTGTAAAAGAACTGCAAGGCTTCAAGAAATGTTACTTGTGTTAGGAATCCAGTTTTTTGTGGGTTGTTTTGTGTATTTCTCTCTCCACCACCAGGTGGTGCCCTGTTCCTTGTTGGGCCTTCCTGCACACCTGCGGCTCGTTGGATCATTACCGGGGGAGTATTTGAGCAGCGGGCTGTCACTACCTTGACGCCAGAGTGTTTGCCAGTTTTGGGTACTCTAGCCAAGCTGAGATTAGCAGAGTCTAACCAAAGCTTTGTTTCTCTGAGTCTAATCTTTTTTTTGTCTTTGCTCTTCGGCAGGAAGCCTTTTCCTGTGTAACTGGATAACCTGGACCTTCTCCCCCTGGAACGATTAGTACACACTGAGCAAGGGTCCTCCACATGTTCTGTTCAAGTCCTCATCGGAAAACCAAGTGACAGTCCGCTCCTTTACTCCTCTGGGTCCAACGTATGTCTACCTGTCCGCTCTCCAACGAGTTCCCTCTCCTCTGGATTAATTCCCCACAAACTGGATTCAAGGATTAACAAGAGCCCCCTCAAACGTGAGTTTCTCTCCAGCTATATTCAAACCTCAGTCAACTTTCCTACGGTCCCTGAACTGATCACTGTGACCTCTCCTTCAGACTTTCCGGTTACGCTTCACCAGTCCACTGAGTTCCAGCTCCTACTTCTGTGTTTCATCAACGTTCAATAAACCTGTTAAACTTTTACCCTTGGTCTCTAAGTGGTTCTCTGCATGTGGTTCAGATCGCTTAAACCAATTCTGACAACTTGTGATTGGTCACTAGTGTCGTTCACACCTCAGTAAGGATGATCTAGCCCATCTTTATAGAAATTTTATATCTTTCAGGTTTTTTTGCTGCAAAAACAAAGCTTCTGCTCCCTCAATGGATTTTCTGTGACTTTGGTTTATAAACTAGCTTTAAACAAAAGTCACTTTAACTATTACACTGTACGTATAGTATGTTTAGGGCTCTATGACGCTGGGACACACATCCACACCTCATTTTTAGTATTTGCACAAAAGGAGAAAGGTTTAATGGTTTAATCTCTGCATGTTTTAGTAAAGCCATTGGTAAAGCTATCCTGGGCCCTTAGCAAAACATTAGCAACAAAAACCATAATGATCCTCCCTCCATGCTTGAAAATGGAGAATGTGTTTAGATCACACTCCATATGTTTTCTAATCAGGACACACCAGCTGTGTCTCTTCTTAATAGTTCCCTTTTCTGAATCATCTAGAAGTTCACCAAACACTAGAGAAGCATGTAATATCTGTTTCTTCTAACAGGATATGGAAAAATCAATCCATGACAGAGGGGTGCTTTACCAACAAGCTCCTCCTAGGAAGTTGTAAGTTGATCCTCACCTAACCTATGATCAGTCTCATCTAGGAGCTGAAATCTAGCTTCCAATTGAAGAGGCTCTACAGTCTTTTAAAAATGTATTCCATTTCAAACTCGCAGCTGTCTTCTTCACACCAAGTAAACTTATCTTTTTTTCGTATTATTTTGAATCAACAATCTAGTGCAGGGGTCACCGATGTGGTGCCCGCAGGCACCAAGGGGCCCTCAGGGGCCTCATGGGCTGCCAACAGCATCTTCTGAAATCAGTACAACTCACCAATGGGCTAAGATAGACATTTTGATTTTATTCTGTTGTCCTTTTTTAATCATTTATAGAGCATTTTATCATACAGGTTATTTAAGCCTTTATAGAGATTTTAAAATGACGATATGATAAAGAAAATTAGAAGCTGGAAAAAAAACAATACAAATATGTTTATTTTGTATGAAGTTAAGGTGAACACTGATCCTTCCTTCCCTCCTTCTTTCCTAACTTCACTCCTTCAGAATCTCCATCCTTCCTTCCTATCCCTCTCTCCATTCCTCCCAACCTCCCTCCCTCCCACTTTCCTTTCTTTCCCTTCCTCCGTCCCTTTCTCACTTCCTCCTTCCATCCTTCCTCCCTCCTTCTTCCTACCTTCTTTCGTTCCCTCCCTCTATCCTTGCCCTCCTTCTTCCTACCTTCTTTCGTTCCCTCCCTCTATCCTTGCCTCCTTCTTTCCTTCCTTCGCTCCCAATAAAAACCTGTTTATAATGTATAAAGTTAAGGGGAAAACTGATCCTTCCTTCCTTCCTTCCTTCCTTCCTTCCTTCCTTCCTTCCTTCCTTCCTTCCTTCCTTCCTTCCTTCCTTCCTTCTAAAAATATGTTTATTATGTATGAAGTTAGGGTGAACGCTGATCCTTCCTTCCTTCCTTCCTTCCTTCCTTCCTTCCTTCCTTCCTTCCTTCCTTCCTTCCTTCCTTCCTTCCTTCCTTCCTTCCTCTAAAAATATGTTTATTATGTATGAAGTTAGGGTGAACGCTGATCCTTCCTTCCTTCCTTCCTTCCTTCCTTCTAAAAATATGTTTATTATGTATGAAGTTAGGGTGAACGCTGATCCTTCCTTCCTTCCTTCCTTCCTTCCTTCCTTCCTTCCTTCCTTCCTTCCTTCCTTCCTTCCTTCCTTCCTTCCTCTAAACATATGTTTATTATGTATGAAGTTAGGGTGAACGCTGATCCTTCCTTCCTTCCTTCCTTCCATGCTTCCTCCCTCCTTCTTCCTACCTTCTTTCGTTCCCTCTATCCTTGCCTCCTTCTTTCCTTCCTTCGCTCCCAATAAAAACCTGTTTATAATGTATGAAGTTAAGGGGAAAACTGATCCTTCCTTCCTTCCTTCCTTCCTTCCTTCCTTCCTTCCTTCCTTCCTTCCTTCCTTCCTTCCTTCCTTCCTCTAAAAATATGTTTATTATGTATGAAGTTAAGGTGAACACTGATCCTTCCTTCCCTCCTTCTTTCCTAACTTCACTCCTTCAGAATCTCCATCCTTCCTTCCTATCCCTCTCTCCATTCCTCCCAACCTCCCTCCCTCCCACTTTCCTTTCTTTCCCTTCCTCCGTCCCTTTCTCACTTCCTCCTTCCATCCTTCCTCCCTCCTTCTTCCTACCTTCTTTCGTTCCCTCCCTCTATCCTTGCCTCCTTCTTTCCTTCCTTCGCTCCCAATAAAAACCTGTTTATAATGTATAAAGTTAAGGGGAAAACTGATCCTTCCTTCCTTCCTTCCTTCCTTCCTTCCTTCCTTCCTTCCTTCCTTCCTTCCTTCCTTCCTTCCTTCCTTCCTCTAAAAATATGTTTATTATGTATGAAGTTAGGGTAAACGCTGATCCTTCCTTCCTTCCTTCCTTCCTTCCTTCCTTCCTCTAAACATATGTTTATTATGTATGAAGTTAGGGTGAACGCTGATCCTTCCTTCCTTCCTTCCTTCCTTCCATCCTTCCTCCCTCCTTCTTCCTACCTTCTTTCGTTCCCTCCCTCTATCCTTGCCTCCTTCTTTCCTTCCTTCGCTCCCAATAAAAACCTGTTTATAATGTATAAAGTTAAGGGGAAAACTGATCCTTCCTTCCTTCCTTCCTTCCTTCCTTCCTTCCTTCCTTCCTTCCTTCCTTCCTTCCTTCCTTCCTTCCTTCCTTCCTTCCTTCCTCTAAACATATGTTTATTATGTATGAAGTTAGGGTGAACGCTGATCCTTCCTTCCTTCCTTCCTTCCTTCCATCCTTCCTCCCTCCTTCTTCCTACCTTCTTTCGTTCCCTCCCTCTATCCTTGCCTCCTTCTTTCCTTCCTTCGCTCCCAATAAAAACCTGTTTATAATGTATAAAGTTAAGGGGAAAACTGATCCTTCCTTCCTTCCTTCCTTCCTTCCTTCCTTCCTTCCTTCCTCTAAAAATATGTTTATTATGTATGAAGTTAGGGTAAACGCTGATCCTTAGTTCCTTCCTTCCTTCCTTCCTTCCTTCCTTCCTTCTAAAAATATGTTTATTATGTATGAAGTTAGGGTGAACGCTGATGCTTCCTTCCTTCCTTCCTTCCTTCTAAAAATATGTTTATTATGTATGAAGTTAGGGTGAACGCTGATCCTTCCTTCCTTCCTTCCTTCCTTCCTTCCTTCCTTCCTCTAATCATATGTTTATTATGTATGAAGTTAGGGTGAACGCTGATCCTTCCTTCCTTCCTTCCTTCCATCCTTCCTCCCTCCTTCTTCCTACCTTCTTTCGTTCCCTCCCTCTATCCTTGCCTCCTTCTTTCCTTCCTTCGCTCCCAATAAAAACCTGTTTATAATGTATGAAGTTAAGGGGAAAACTGATCCTTCCTTCCTTCCTTCCTTCCTTCCTTCCTTCCTTCCTTCCTTCCTTCCTCTAAAAATATGTTTATTATGTATGAAGTTAGGGTGAACGCTGATCCTTCCTTCCTTCCTTCCTTCCTTCCTTCCTTCCTTCCTTCCTTCTAAAAATATGTTTATTATGTATGAAGTTAGGGTGAACGCTGATCCTTCCTTCCTTCCTTCCTTCCTTCCTTCCTTCCTCTAAACATATGTTTATTATGTATGAAGTTAGGGTGAACGCTGATCCTTCCTTCCTTCCTTCCTTCCATCCTTCCTCCCTCCTTCTTCCTACCTTCTTTCGTTCCCTCTATCCTTGCCTCCTTCTTTCCTTCCTTCGCTCCCAATAAAAACCTGTTTATAATGTATGAAGTTAAGGGGAAAACTGATCCTTCCTTCCTTCCTTCCTTCCTTCCTTCCTTATTTCCTTCCTTCCTTCCTTCCTTCCTCTAAAAATATGTTTATTATGTATGAAGTTA